TTGCCCTCCTCCCACACATTACCACCACATTTCTAAGGTCCTATTAACAGCAATTTCTTTTACCCAGCACATCATATCAGGCTATCAAGGAAAAAATGACAGGGTGGGTTGGCTAGTTAGCTCAGTTGGTTAGAGCCTGGTGCTGGTAATACCAAGGTATAGGGTTTGATCCCTGTAGTGAAAAACCGCCAAAAAAAAAAAAAAAGAGAAAGCATACTAGAAAGGAAAAACACAGTATGAAGAGACAGAGAACAAACATCAGAACCAGCCATGGCAGAGCTGTTGGAATTATAAGTCAGAGCATTTAAAACAACTATGATTAATTTGCTGAGATCTCTAGTGGATATTGCAGACAACATGCAAGAACAGAAGGACAATGTAAGCAGAGAGATGGAAATCATAATAAAGAACCAAAAAGAAATGATAGAGATTAAAAACATTGTACCAGAAATGAAGAATGTCCTCTAAGGGCTCATTAGTAGACTAGGCATTAGTAGACTAGACATGGTTGAGGAAAGAATCTCTGAGCTTGAAGATTGTCAAAAGAAATTTCTAAAACTGAAAAAAGCACAGAACAAAGACAGAAAAACAAAACAGAAAATCCAGGAACTATGAGACAATTACAAAGGTGTAAATATGCATAATGGGAATACCACAAGTAGGGTGACAGAACATAGAGAAAAAAAGAGAGAAAAAAAGAAAGAAAGAAAGAACAACAGAAAGGAAAAAGAAGAATTTTTGAAACAGTAATGATTGAATTGTCCCAGATTGATGTCGGACACCAAAGTGCAGAAACAGAAAATTCAGAGAATACCAAGCAAGATAAATGCCAAAAAAAACCCCAACAAAAAACCCTACATGTCGGCATATCATTTTTAAACTACAGTAAATCAAAGATAAAGGAAAAAAATACTGAAAAAGCCAGAAGTAAAAGACAGCTTACCTATAGAGGAGCAAAAATAAGAATTAAAGTCGAGTTCTCCTCAGAAACTATGCAAAAATAAGAGAATAGAGTGAAATATTTAAGGTGTTGAGAGAGAAACATCCTTGAATTTTGTACCTATGAAATTATACCCTCATATCTTATATTAGGGTACTTCAAAAAGTTCATGGAATGATTTGTATTATCTTTTACTTGTGTTTTTCATGAACTTTCTTGAAGTATTCTCATACGTTTATATATACACCGTATAGGTTCTGTTTTTCTGGGGAATCCTGACTAATACAATAGTTTTCAGTAATTTTAATTTTACAGTTGTTTTCTTCTGAGATAATCTCAGCTCCCCGTGAAGACACTTTCCCTGCAAGAACAGTAGAAATGATAATCACTTCCCATCAAAGAGACGAGATCTTGGTGTGCGAAACTTTAATCTTGGGGTTCTGGCGTCCCCTTTGCACAGGTAAACCAATTTTGCACAAGAACACTGTCCTGTTCCAAAATGACATTTGCTAAGTGGCTCTTCTTTTCACATAATTGTCAGATTAAAATAATAATATATCTAAGAATATGGAGTAAGAAATATATATTATATGGATAAAAAACTATTCCTCACAATCACCGACTTTACAGGCAGAAGAGAGTTCTTCTGTGGGAACCAGAGGCAGAGCTTCACTTTTGTCCTGATTGAGTACAATCTCATCTTCTATCTTCCCAGTCCTGGCCCTATGTGCAGTCTTTTACTCTTGTCCCTGACCGAGCATAGTGAAACTCTCATAGCCTAACGTTCTAGACTATAACCGTTTGAAATGAAAAAAGATCATGTTTATTGGATTCCCGCTAAAAGGGGACACATTTTGTGTCTGAATGACTCTATGGAATGATTTGTCCCTCTGGATTTATAGTCACTGGGAGCGTCTGAAACAATATCTTTGATACCTGGTACCTCCGATACCTGAAGTAACAGCATCTGAATACGCGCATTTCAAAGAGCCTGAAACAAGTGCGTGAATACGTAGGAAATCAGCTGAAGACAATACTCACCCTAAGTCTGAGTTCGGCTCTTAAAAAAGAGCGAAGCCACTCCCACACTTTGTGACGGTGGCCACGCCACTTTTCAGAGACCCCTCTCGCAGTGCCCCTTGGCCTTTTCCCCTGGAGGTTCAGGTGAGGGTCGCCCTTTGCCTGACTCATGCAGCAGATGTGGGAACTCCATTACCCAGAGGACTCTGCGCCAGGCGCCCTGGGCGTTGAGCCAATGAAAGCTCAGGAGAGAAGTATTTACATACGTCGAACCGCTTCGGGGCGGGACATCCGGTGTCCCCCTATTTGAGGCAATTTGCCTGCCATAGGTTTGCCCATTGGTGCTGGGTCTGAACTGAGAAGTGTCGAGAGGAGTCGTTGTCACACTGCACAGAGAAGGGTCTGAGGTTCGGCGACGCCGTCCACGGTAACCCGCGACAGGGCCGAGATAGAGCCCGCCGCTCCCGGCCCCGCTCTGCCCAGAGTCGGATGGAGTCGGACGGGGCTCTGGTAAATGCTGCGTCCTCCGGGCCTTCCCCCCTTTCAGCCCCGAACCATAAAGCCCCAGTGAGTGTCTGCTGCTCACGTAGCTGCAGCCCAGACGCCTGTGTTGAGAACAGTGAGGCGATCGCGGTTGGGGTCCCTATTTCTGGCACCCGGTATAGTCGAGGGTGCGAGATTGTTACTGGCAGAGGGGAGGGCGCGTGCAAAGTCTTGGAGGAGCGACTGAACCAGGAGCCTTTGGCAAACCAGGAGGGTCTGCCTTATCTGTGCAAGGAACAGAGAATCTGAGGCAGAGTCGCGCTTTGATTGGCCCACTCCCATTTTTTTCAGAACGATGGGAGCCATAGAGTTGTGAACAGAACAGGGACACAGACCGAATTAGGCTTTTAAAGGTTTTACATAAAAGCAGCTTTCAGTAACGGACTGAAAGGGGGATGTTGATAAAAGGCACACAGGAATTACAAACTATTACAAGGTCACATAGCTGGTAAAATAACAAGGACTGAGAGTAAGAGATAATGAAGTCATCTCAGGTCACCTGGCTCCAGGGCTGGGCAGGCGACCAGGGGTGCCTGGAGCCCATGGGGTCACCTCACTCTCAGTACTTCCCTCCTTCCAGAGATTGCCACTAGTACAGAAGTGCTTACAGACATTGCAAGGGTGAATGTAGGATATCCAGAACCTGACTGATCCTGATTCCAGCCAGGTGATCTCTGGGACTATGGTGTACTGGGACTCTTCACCTGCCACTCTTCCAGGATTTGATTAGGGACGCTGAACAGATCCTAAGCCCCAGGGCCCTGAGTTTAGGCTGAGAGTTATATGGAGTGGCAGAGAATAGAATGATATGTTGTAGTTTGTCCCAGGTACAGGTAGAAATGTTTGCAGATGCTTGGAGAAAGGGCTGTAATGGTTCAGGAAGCTTTGTCTCCTTTCTTTCTCATGGCAACAGAGAGCAGTTGTACAAGATCAGACCTTAAATTGTTCTCTCAGATGTTGGGTGTAAATTTTAGAGATGATGGGAGTAACGAGAGGTTTGGAGCAGAGGAGGGAGGTGATCTGACTCAGGTCTCATTAGGCTTTCTGTGGCTGAGCAAGGAGAACAGACTGTGGGTGTGAGGGAGGTGGTAGCAAGACCAGGGAAGAGACGACTGCAGTAGTCCTGGTGACTGTTGATGGTGGGGACCAGCATGGTGGCTGTGGAGGTGGTAGAAATGGATGGATTATGGATTGTTTCTTTTAGTAGGTTTTCTCTGGTTTTCTGATTGTGAGGATGAGAGAGAAAAAGGGGAGGCTGCAAGGATTTCGGGTTTAGCAGCAGGAAGTATAGAAGCTCCATCAACTGGGATGGGAAAGTAGATAGTAGGATTAATTTTCATTCAGGATCTCAGAAATTTTTTTGGCCTTGTTAAGGGTGAAAGATGCTTCACAGAATAAATATGTAGAGGTATCAACTGGTCAAGTAAACACACAGGTTTGAGACTCTGGAGAGGAAGTACAGGGTAGAGACATCTATAATGGGTGGGGGATAGTATGTGGACCAGGTTGGAGCTGTGAGTCTTAGTCAGCTTGAGCTGATAAATAAAGAGCATAGACTGGTGGTTTAAACAACAAAACTTTATTTCTCAAAGTTCTAGAGCTGAGAAGTCCAAGATCAAGATGTCATCAGATTCAGTTCCTGGGGAGAGCTCCACTTCTTGTCTTGTTCTCATATGGTCTTTTCTGGTTGTGAGTGTGTAGAAAGAAGAAAACTCTTTTCCCTGTCTTAAGTGCACTAATCTCATTATGAGAGTCTAACTCTCATCATCAGCATGGGTCACATTTTGTAGAAGGAATCCTTGTCAGGTCTGGAAGGGGAGGAATGAGGGCCACAATTGGGTCTTGTCCTTGGGTACCTTGGTGGGTGCAGTGGACATCACAAACACAGATGAGGGAGGGAAGTGGTCATGGGAACAGTGTGGGAGAGTGGACGACCTGGCAGGTGACCAAGGCTTCTGAAACATAGGTGAACATGAGTTGGATGGGAAGGCCTGGGAGTTATTTAGACAAGATGACACTAACCAGGACCAGTGCTTACTTACTGCTCCATGGACTCACCACGATTTTATCATGACTTTGGTGTGTCTGTGGAGTTTCAATGAGTCAGGTGTATTAAGTGTAGGGGCACAAGTGATCATCTGGGAGTGATCACTGGATTTGGGTGGAGGGCCTCTGGGGCATTTTTGTTTTGCAGCTGGCCAGTAAGGGGTGGGGGGTGGGGGTGTGTGTGCTGGGTTTCAAGTGTGGGTTAGGAGGAGAGGAAGACAGTTACTGGTGAGTGCAGCACAAGTTGGAAAGTTCCATGAGTATCTTGAGACCCACAGGTGGTTTTTAGTGGCTGAGGCTGAAACAAAGAGCAGAGGCAGGGAGGCCTTCAGAGCAGGATTTGGCAAGTTTCTAGACCTCTGGCCATTGGGATCATAAGTCTGGGTAGTACGGAATCCTGTTTGAATTTACAAGCACTTTCTGTAATACCTTCATTCAGTTAACATGTAGGATGGCCAAGGAGATGACTGTGGTATGAGATGAGGGTGGAGGAGGCTGTGGGAGTGAAGCTGTGTGAGACAGGTACATTAGAAAAAGTAAATTGCCTCTCGCCAGGGAGTGTGCACTATGGCCCAAGGATCCAGACATTGAGGACATAAGGGTGAAAAGTTAGCCTAGACTGTTGGTTGTTTCTGGGAGGCATGAACTGGTGGATTCCAGGTGAATTGTCTGACAAGGAGGGAGAGTTGCTTCCTGGCATGTCTGTCTCAGAGCTTAGATATTTGCCCACCTGCCTATTGTTGCTGTGGGAGGACACAGGGACCAGTGGGACCATGAAGAGAGGGGGCATTAGTGTAGCATGAACTGGTGGATTCCAGGTGAATTGTCTGACAAGGAGGGAGAGTTGCTTCCTGGCATGCCTGTCTCAGAGCTTAGATATTTGCCCACCTGCCTATTGTTGCTGTGGGAGGACACAGGGACCAGTGGGACCATGAAGAGAGGGGGCATTAGTGGCATCAGGGTCTATTATCTTCTACTAGGTGGGGATATGGGGAGGAAAGTCAGCAGGGGATGGAGTGAGTGGATAAACTTGGTGTTTTAGGAGAGAAACTGATCATGGAATGAATTGTTCTCATCATGGCAGGGTACTGTGACCTTTGAGGACGTGGCCATTTACTTCTCCCAGGAAGAGTGGAAGCTCTTAGATGAAGCTCAGAGGCTCTTGTACTGCAACGTGATGCTGGAGAACTTTGCACTTATAGCATCCCTGGGTAAGGGCTTCATATTTTTACAGTGTCCTTTGCTGTCCCTGTCTTTCCCCCTATCACAGAGGCAGCTCTGTTCTTTCCACTGCTGACAATGGGCATTCCTAACTTCCCCACATTCTTGGCATATTTACCATGGGAGACAGTTCCAAGCTCTGTGCACCACCCCCAGCAATGCACTCTCCAACCAGCCCTAACACCTGCTGCCTCTAGGCATGCAGGGAAGGTCTGGGAAGTCAGGAGTCTTGCAGTCGGCTCCATGGATCCATCCTTGCCCTCTCTTGGCAGGATGATTGCATCCAGATCAATGGGATTTCTGTGCACCAGGTTGTATCCTTTTTCCTCTAGCTAACATTTTCTCGTGCCTACCTCTGTCAGGGATTGTGGGTAGTGTGATAGGTAGTACTTGTGTAGTCTATAGGCCTTTCTGAAATGAACCTCATTCAAGATTTTATTGTTTGTCTTTTTCCTTCTGTTGTTTGCCATGTACTGACTTGCTCTTGGCCAGTGTTGGCTGCTCACCTTTTGGGTCTTTCCCTTAGGACTTGCATCATGGAGGTCCCGTGTAGTTGCTTTGCTGGGATTGGTGGATGGCCCTGGTGAGGGCCAACTAAGGGAGGGAATGATATAAGGGCTGTTTTCTAATCATACCGTGAACCTTGTTTGTCCTCATGTTTGGGTTCAAACACCACAGGATATACCTGATTTTTACCTTTTTTCCTCATGCTTGACTCTTTCATGACTTGCCATTTCATCTGTGACTTCCAACCTATAGTTGCTCTCACCTTTCTGGCCTCTATGGGTCATTTGATCCTCTCCAGTGCACCTTCTACAATGTTCTCTGACAGTGACCCATACATAATGTGTTGTGAGGTATACACATGTCACTAAGTAATCCTTAAACAACAGGTACTGGGTTCTCATGGGTTTTTACTGGGACTCTTCACCAAGGCAAGGTCCTGCTGAAGACTGTTGGCTGAGAAGTGAGTCAGAGACCCTTCCTGTCCTCTCTGAAGTGCACCTCATGTTTGTGTCTTTCATCATATAGGGCCTTTCCTGTTCTGTGATCTTTAGAGGCCCTTTCTTCAAATTACCATCAGCTTTCACTTCCTGATCCATTCCCATGGACTCATTTTTTGGTATGTCTGACACATTTTTGATGAAACTCTACTCCCACCATAAGCAACCTGCACTTCATCAGCATTTCTCTTCTTTTAGGTTGTTGGACTGGAGCAAGGGATGAGGAGACATCATCTGAGCAGTGCATTTCTGTAGGAGTGTCCCAGGTCAGGACTGCAAAAGCAGGTCTATCACCCCAGGACACTCTCCTCTGTTCTATGTGTGTCCCAGTCCTGAAAGAAATTTTGCACCTGGCTGAGCTCCAAGCAATACCTTCTGAGAAGAAAGCATGTTTGAGTGGGCCATTCAATGGAATGTGGTTGAGTACAAACTTTCACCAGCTCCACAGACATGATATTGGAGAGAATCTTTTCAAAAGGAATGTGGACCAGGCCTCATTTGTGAGAAGCTACAGATTTCATTCATCAGGGAAGCCCTTCTTCTGTGCAGAGATTGGGAAGGACTCTCCAGCCACCTCAGGCCTTCTTCAGCACCAGGCCACCCTCAGCGGTGAGAAGCCACACAGCAGCATTCAGCACTGGAAAGTTCACAGTGAAGCAAAGCCTTATAAGTGCAGTGAATGTGGGAAATCTTTTAGCCACAAATCTGTCCTTGTTCAACACCAGACAGTTCACACTGGAGAAAGCCCTTACAAGTGCAGTGAATGTGGGAAATCTTTTAGCCAAAGTTCTGGGCTCTTTCGACACAGGAGGGCTCACACTAGAGCAAAGCTTTATGAGTGCAATGAATGTGAGAAATCTTTCAGCAGGAAATCTTTCCTCATTCGACACCAAAGAGTTCACACAGGAGCAAAGCCTTACAAGTGTAATGAATGTGGGAAATCTTTTAGCCAGAAATCTGTTCTCATTCAACACCAAACAGTTCACACTGGAGAAAGGCCTTATGAGTGCAGCGAATGTGGGAAATCATTTAGCCACAAATCTGTCCTCATTCAACACCAAAGAGTTCACACTGGAGCAAGGCCTTATGTGTGCAGCGAATGTGGGAAATCATTTAGCCAAAGCTCTACCCTCTCTCAGCACAGGAGGTCTCACTCTAGAGCAAGGCCTTATGAGTGCAGTGAATGTGACAAATCCTTTAGTCGTAAACCCTACCTCATTCAACACCAGAGAGTTCACTCAAATGAAAGACCTTATGAATGCAGTGAATGTGGGAAATCCTTCATACAAAGGTCTGGGCTTTTTCACCATCGGGGAGTTCACACTGGAGAAAAGCCTTTTGAATGCAGTGAATGTGGCAAATCTTTTAGCCACAAACCCTCTCTCATTCAACACCAGACAGTTCACACTGGAATAAGGCCATTTGAGTGCAGTGAATGTGACAAATCCTTTAGCCGAAAAACCCACCTTATTCGACACCAGACAGTTCACACTGGGAAAAGGCCTTTTGAGTGTGGTGGGTGTGGAAAATCATTTAGAGAAAGCTCTGGCCTCCACACAGGAGAGGTTGTCTGTAGTGACTGTGGGAAACTTATTAGCCACAAATCTCATCTCACTTAATACTGAAGAGTTCACATAGGAGATGGGGCTTAGATATGCTGAAAATATGACTTATTAATACTCAGTATAATGGACATGGAGGAAGAGTCTTGTTGAGGAGCCTTCTGACTGGATTGAATCTCATATAAACATATCTGAACATCCATGAATTTTCTATATTTTCAGGTATATGGGAACCATGTGTAGCTATGGTACACTTTCCAGACCTGCCCAGAGCTTGTGTCACTGCTTCTTGCTGTGACTGTAGCTATCTCAACTGTGCCACTTTTCAGATCCTCATGGTATGTATACATCAGTCACCACCCAAGTGTGCTCAGGGAAACAGTCCTCTTTCATTTTTTAGAAGAAACTATTAATAGCCTGAGTGTTTATGACGCTTTTATTCTCTTCTGTCTTATTAGTTAGAGGGTTGACCTAGCTCAGTTTTGGTCCAGAGGACCTGATATGAATTCTCCTGTTGGATTACAGAGAAGAACTACCCTTTTTGGGGACATTGTTGGTCTTGGGTGGTGCTTATAATGTTTTCTCAGCTTCCAAGACATCATACCAGGAACTGCCTATAGCACATTGCACTGGTTTGTGCAATAATAATGCCCTTTTGTTTCAGTAACTTTAATTTTGGAAGTTTTATTCACTGTGGAGTAGTTGGAAAGCATAACAGACCTCTGCCAACTTGAAGGGCTGAACAACTTTTGTGGGGATCCAAACTTTGTGTGCCTCAGAGGGGACAAGATGATGACAGAGTGTATTACTCACTCCAGATTTTGCCTAGTTTGCTCTGCTGCCAAGGCATCCAAGGAAAGACAGCAGGTCCCAGTTTTTGGCCTGGATGCCAGAGTTCTGTGGGCTCGGGTAAAACTGGATTCGTCATGTTGAACATATATATGTATTTTTTAATGAAGTACTTTGAACCGTATGTTGAGCATATATTGTAAGTATACATTTGGCTAAATGATTTCCCACCTGTATATCTTAAGTAAAATGCCTATTTGGCTCATTTGATATTTTATGAATATTTACTAGTTTCTTTTCAGTAATAAGTAGAGACAATGGAATAAGAAACTCATATGTTGGAATTTTATTTACTGAAGGATGTAAGTTGATTTGTTTGCTTTTGAATACTGGAATAATATTTCCTCATTTCTCTTCAATATTTTTTTCTGGTATGCACATCGTAATGGCCACCTATAGTATATACTGTTAAGTTTCAACAGAATTATTAACATTCTGCATCATTTGTCTAAATTTAGACTTTCAATAATATAATAAATCAAGCTCTAGTTTGTAATGTGTGCTTTTTTTTTTTTGGTGTAAATAATCTCACCTAGCCAATTTGAAACTACTGACATGATGTCATTGAACATGGAGTAGGGAAGAGTCTCCAGTAGCACACTGTTGTATTTCCACTATACGGATACAGTAGCTATGATAACCTCAAGAATATAGATAATGCTAACACTTAGTGAAACAATTGAAAAAATGAGTGAAGGTGACAATGGTTGAGTACTTGTAACCTGAACAGTTTAACTGATGTTTAATTGCCTTAACTGCACACATTTAAAATGTATATTTTGTTGTTTTGATACATGAAAATGTTTCTTTCTGCTCTTTCAAATTCATCCTTCTCAACATGTATAATTACTGATAAAAGGACATATTTTGCCTTTTGTAATGGATATTTTCAAATAGATGGAATAGATTTTCAAAATTGAAAAAGACTGTTATGAAGCCCCATGTATTCTTCCTCAGTCTTGCATTATTCCTATGGTTGCTCTTGTTTCATCTAGCCCCATGCTCATTAGTGGGTTATTTTACTTATAAACCCAGATATAATGTCATTGATGCATAACTTCTTGATAATATTTTTTGATAATGTGAGGAATTTTCATAATGCTGACAACCTTCTTACACAAAATAAAAGTATTTTAAAATATGGCAAATATGTTATCGTTGGTGAATTTTATTTTGTTATAAATGTTTATTCTTTAAGGAAGACTAATTACAATCAGGATATAAAATGTATCATGGTTTTCAGTATATGTGTCTTGTAAACCTTTTAATCTATAGATAGTACTTCATGCTTTTTTAGTATGTACTAGATGACGTGATAAGCCATGTATCCATTACGATTTGCAGCATTTTAGATAAGGTCATTGCATCTTTCATATTGTTTAACATGCTGATGCTTCCCCCAGATTTTCTGTACATTGCATATTGAGATGAGTGATTTGAGTTGTGTACCTGTCAAAGAGTGTGTGACATTGACAATCCTGGAAACACACACAGTGTGACTGGTAGAACATAGCAGCACGACCTGGAAACACATTCAGGTATTGGGTGGGACGGGTGTGTAGTGATGGCACTGCAGCACATCCTAGAGATATGCACATGCATATCTGGGGGAACCTGTGTGACAGGTGTGTGATAGTGATGCACCTCAGCACGTATTACACCCATACACCCTAGGGACACAGACTGACGTGTTGGATGATGACAATTCAACACAATCTAGACACAAAATGGATATACCACAACTACAATGCAAAACATGGGTAACAGGCATGAGGCACACACAAATGGTATATGTTAAACACACCAGGGACATTAGAAAGAGAAGTGAGGTAATGACACACCAAAGTAAATATGGAGACACAAATACAGTTTTACATTCTTACCAGTATTGTTTGAGAATTTCAGTTTCTCTAAATCCTCAACATTTGGTGTAATCAGTCTTTTTATTTTAGCTATTCTAATATGTGTTTCTTGTATCCTCTTAGAGAGAGAGAGGGAGAGACAGAGAAAGCAAAGTGCCTAGTAGACTTCTTTGATATAAGGAGGGAACTTTTCTTTAACTGGGTATACTACTTAAGGACCAAGGGACATGGAAGATGGCCAGCAATGAAGGAGTCCTAGTGCATGAAAGGGCTCTGCAGCAGATCTGGGCTGTATTGGAAATAGTCCTGCCCCTTGGGCCATGTGATTCAGCAGATCCTTCGGTATTAATGGTGTCAGTGGTGGGAAAAGTGAAGTGTGAGGTTTTGGCTAGTCAGAGAGAGGGAATCACAATGCAGGCTCCTGGGGCTCTGGTGGAAATTCATGTCATTTACAGTAGATAATTGTATGTCATTTTGAAACAACTGGTGTGATACTGTGCCCACATAAGAACAAGATGATTGTCTATCGTACATCAAGTCAACATGCTTGCATAATTGCCCATTCTCAGCATGATTCTCTTCTACCAATCAAGTCATAAATTAAGACAGGCCCTGCTGCTCAAAACTGAGCAGGTCCAGCAATCAAAACTGGGCTGCATTAATGCAACATTCATATGGAACAACTAAAGACCCTGAATAGCTAAAGCAATCCTAAGCAAAAAAATGAAGCTGGAGGCATAACACTACCTGACTTCAAATTATATTAAAAAGCTATTGTAACCAAATCAGTGTGGTACTGGAAAAAAACCAGACACTAGGATCAGTGGAACAGAATAGAAAACCCAGGAATCAACCCACATACAGCCAACTGATCTTTGACAAAGACAGCAAGAACATACATTGGGGAAAAGACTGCCTCTTCAATAAATGGTGCTGGGAAAATTGGACATCCATATGCAGAAAAATGAAATTGGACCTGTACCTCTCACCATATACCAAAATCAAATCAAAATGGATTAAAGACTTAAATATAAGACCTGAAGCCATAAAATTACTAAAGGAAAATATAGGGGAAACACTCCAGGTAATAGGATTGGGCAAAGACTTTATCAATAAGACCCCAAAGGCACAAGCAACTAAAGAAAAATAAAAAATTGGATTATATCAAACTAAAAAGCTTCTGCACAGCAAGGAAACAATCGACAGAGTGGAAAGACAACCTATGAATGAGAGAAAATATTTGGAAACTATGCATACAACAAGGGATTAATATCCAGAATATACAAAGAACTCAAACAACTATACAGTAAAAAACCAAATAATCCAATTAAAAAGTGGGCAAAGGAGCTTAATAGAAATTTTTCAAAGGAAGACATACAAATGGCCAACAGGTACAGGAAAAAATGCTCAGCATCACTGGTCATCAGAGAAATGCATATCAAAACCACATTGATATGTCACCTCACCCCAGTTAGTCTGGCCATTATTAAAAAGATTGAGAATAATAAACGCTGGCGAGGATGTGGGGAAAGGGGAACTCTTCTACATTGTTGGTGGGACTGTAAATTAGCACAGCCATTGTGGAAAACAGTACAGAGGTTTCTCAAACAACTACAGATAGAGCTACCATATGATCCAGCAATCCCATTACTGGGTATATAGCCAAAGGAATGTAAACCATCATGTTGAAGGAATACTTGCACTCCCATGTTCACTGCAGCTCTATTTATAGTAGCCAAAATATGGATCCAACCTAAATGTCCATCGATGGGTGACTGGATAAAGAAAATGTATATATACACCATGGAATACTATTCAGCCATAAAAAAAGAATGAAATTCTGTCATTTGCAGCAACATAGATGAGTCTGGAAAAAATTTATGTTAAGTGAAATAAGACAAAGAAACAGAAATACCACATGTTCTCACTCATAACTGGCTTCTAGGAAAGAAGTAAGGGAGGAAAGCAAGGAGGGAAGGAAGGAATGAAGGAAAGAAGAAAGAAAAGACCACAACAATACATTGAACTTTCAGAAGGAGAGAACAAACCTAAGGATAATAGAAATAGGGTGTGTGTGTGTGGGGGGGGGGTTGTGAAGTGATAGGTTGGGCAAAGGGTGTAAAGAAATATCTTGAATTGTAAGAATGAATATGCTAATAATAAAAAAATTAAAATAAAAAAGTTAGGCTGCAAGAGTAGGTAGTTGAGACTCATGTCTTACACCACAGTCATGGCAGCTCATGTTAATGGCTATACTGGGTGTTGTGTGCAACCAGCTGAAGGAGGAGATAGCCTGAATTTGAGTTTTGCATGTTTTTTTTTCAGTCTTTTTTGTTTTTTGTTTGTTTGGGTTTTTTTTGTTTTTTTTTTTGCATTTTGGTTTATAAGTGAAGTAAAAAATGGATGGTGGGATTTTTTTTGGTTTTGGTTCCACATGCAAGGAGCATAGAAGTTGTTCCATGGTTACAAGTAAAAAGCTGAACACATTGAAAAATTAACAATTCTTTTTAGATCTGTATGAGAAATTAGGTTACAAGGCAACTTGCTGCCTGCAAAATCGGAGAGACAGTGGATAGACAGAACAATTTAACTGAGTGGAAACCTCAAGGGAAACACTACTGGGTTAGGAACACCTTAACTGTAATATCTGATTTGCTGGAAGTTATGAGCAAACAAGTCTGTGAGTTAAAAATCTCCAAGGGGAACCAGTCATGAGAGGGAGGATCAGGCTTTTGTGACTTTCACAACTAGGTTCTCACAGTAATTATCAAAGAAAAAGACACTTGTGCTTCTGGTAGAAGGAGGAGCAAAGATACCAATTTGAAATATGAGGGTAGTTCAAAAAGTTCATGGAAGGACATGTATTATCTTTTTTTAATTTTTACATCTGGCTAGTTCAGGGAACCGAACCCTTGACCTTGGTGTTACAAGGTAGTGCTCTAACCAACTGAGCTAACTGTCCAGCCACTTAATTCCATACTTTTATGAACTTTTTGAAGTTCCTTGTATGTCAAAGCATTCTGATCTTTTATAACAAGGTCTGCCCTCAGGAGAAACTAGTTAACCTTAACATAACCTGCTGGTGTTTTACCAGAGCCTAACTTGGGGTAAGGGAAATGCCCAATTCCTGCCAGCTCTAGCCTTCCATGTGGGAGAAAGGACATACTGAACTCTTGCCCACTCTAGCCATCTTGTCCTACCTCCTGGGGGAGAAAAATCTCATGTCTGAGAAACACTTTGAAGTTCACAGTTCAGGGGCATAGACTCCCTAAATAACTGAGACCTAATCAGAGGACTGTAGAATGCTTGCCATCCTCCTGCACCTTATAACCACATTTCTAAAAACCTGTTTATAGCGGTTCATTTTACCCAGTACACCATGTATGGCTATCAAGAAAAAAATGACAAACCATGCTAAAACCGAAAAACACAGAAGGAAGAGACAGAGAGCAAGCATCAGAACCAGACATGGCAAGGATCCTGGAATTACAAGACTGGTAATTTAAAACAACTATGTAATGATATATGTAATCATATGCTAAGGTCTGTTGTGGATAAATTAGACAGCATGCCAAAACAGATAGGCAATGTAAGCAGAGAGATGGAAATTTTAAGAAACTTTCAAAAAGAAATGCTAGAGATAAAAAACACTGTGACAAAAATAAAGAATGCCCTAGATGGGCTCATTAGTAGACAAGGCATGGTTGAGGAAAGAATCTCTGAGCTTGAAGATATCTCAATAAAAACCTCTAAAACTGAATAGCAAAGAACAAAGACTAAGTAAAACAAAACAGAAAAAAAAACAACAACCAGGAACTATGGGACATCTACAAAAGGTGTAAATATGTGTGATATAGTTTGGATATGTTTGTGCTCCTTAAGGTCATGTTGAAATCTAATCCTCAATGTGGCAGTGTTGGGAGGTGTTTAGGTTAAGGAGGCAGATCCCTCATGAATATATTAATGTCCTCTGGTGTTGGGGGGATGTTAGTAAGTTCTTGCTCTATTAATTCCTGCCAGAGCTGGTAGTTAAAAGGAGCCTGGCACCTCCCCTACTTCTCTCTCTTGCTTCCCCCCTCATTGTGTGATCTTGCACCCACTGGCTACCTGCTGCTTTCCGCCATAAGCAGAAGCAGCCTGAGGCCCATGCCAGATGCAGCTGTCCCAGAATCGTAAGCCAAATAAACCTCTTTTCTTTATAAATTACCCAGTCTTAGGTATTCTGTTATAACAACATAAAAATGGACTAATACAATGTGTAACGGGAATATTGCAAAAAGAAGAAA